AGGTAGTCTTTAAAGACTGGAGACTTCATGCCAGTTAAAGATTTGTTAAGAAATCCAGAATAGGGCTGGGGATGTGGCTCAAGTGGTAGCGCGCTCTCCTGGCATGYGTGTGGCCCGGGTTCGATCCTCAGCACCACATACAAACAAAGATGTTGTATCCGCCGATAACTAAAAAATAAATATTAAAAAATTCTCTCTCTCTTAAAAAAAAAAATTAAAAAAAAAAAAGAAATCCAGAATAGCAACATGCCCTAAGAATTTGGTGTCCAAAAATCTGGCTCCCGTGCCTGGTTTTGCCAGTAATTATCTGTGAGATCCAGGTAATGATCTCCCTGGTCTTAATTTACTCTTCTATAAAGTGAAGAAATTGGGCAAGATAATCTTTCTCTGGGGCTCTCCCTAAATTACAATACCTAGAAGGAAAACAGAACTGCTGAAAAGATAATTTAAGCTTGTAGTTCAAGATTGCAACTCTGTACCATAAAAATATCAACTTCTTTATTTTTTCCATGAAGGTAAACACTTGAGGGCACTGGACTTCAGGAAGCAAGGCTGACTGCTATGCTTGTCAACAGCTGTACAAAGTGGAGGAAGGTGTTAAGTGAGAAAGCCTTGGATCAGAAGGAATAAGAGATCTGACCTTGACTGGGCAATGAGTGATTGCAATGAGAGAGAAATGAACTGGAAGGCATAAACTAGGGCAGGAATACAAAACCAAGGGCAAAGGAAGATGCTGTTACAACATGGATATGATAGCACACATGATCAGAATACAAAAGACTAAAAGTCATACTATGTCATTTTCTTTATATTCTAAATGAATGGGTAAAGTGGCAAACGTATGCATCATTCTGAAATAAGCAGAATCTGACATACAAACATGGGGAAAGCACAGTGAAGTATTCCTACCCTGCAAGATCAAAAGCAGCTGCCAAGAAAAGGTCAGGGATCTCCTGGTTGCAAAAAACTCTTCATGCACTAGAGCCTCTGAGTAAAACTCATATCATTTGGAGGGGGAAAAAAAGGAAAGAGGTCTCACCTTAAACTCTTGGACATAAGCTCTGACAGCACAGACAGATCACTGCTGTCTGTGGTTTGTAAATTCCTTTTTCCTTGTTTGTCAGAGTGGCCACATGTGCACTAAGCTCAGAACACTAAGACAGACACCCTCCCTCCTGCCTACCTTCTTTTCCATCCCTAAACTTGTAACAACCTATCAATCAAACCAAACACAAGGAAGCAGGCAGGAGCCAGAAGGTTCTATCTTTTTATTCCTCAACATTCCCTCTCCCAGTCTCTTCAGTTGGCAAGAAGTATGAGGCAGGTGTGTTCAACAACAATTCAGGGCAACAGTAGTTGCTGAGCCATCTCAGGTTATCTCCTAGAACCCTGGGAAACAACACAATGAGCCACCTGACAGAAAGGTGTAATGGAGTAAAAGTGGATGCCATTAAGGGGAATCTGCGTCCCAGACTGATAGAAAATATCCTTGGCCACACCCTGAGATATCTACTTTGATGAGAGAGAAAGTCCTGAGGTAGTAATTTGAATATTCAAATCTGCCTCATTAGATAGTAGTCAATGTCTTGACAATTTTACCCTGCACCACAGAATCTACTGTTTTCTTTCCTATTTCCAAGGGGCAGCGGGTGATATGTGAAAGGAACTCCAGTCAACAAGCTCTGAATTTTATGAGTTTCTCTTTTTCTTGACAGTTCCCAGCTTAAGGATATGCAATTTCAGATTACATCAAAACATCTGTTTTGCTGTTTTGGTTCTGCTGGTTGCTCCTACAAAGAAAGAACATTCCAAACCAGTTAGGCCATAGACAAGCCCGCCTTTCTTTCTTTTTATTTTCTTTTTTTGGTACTTGGAAATGAACCCAGGGGTGCTGTACCACTGAGTTACATCCCAAGCCCTTTTTATTTTTTGAAACAAGGTCTTCCTAAATTGCCCAAGCTAGCCTAGTATTACAGATGTGCACCTTGCTACCTGGCAACAAACCTAACCTAACCTCCACTTCTTTTAAGGATCCTGAGGATTGAACGCTGGGATGTTTTAACATCACTGAGCTATACCAAGCCTTTATTTATTTATTTATTTATTTAGGTGCTGGGGATCAAATCCAGAGCCTTGTGCATGCAAAGCAAGCACTCTACCAACTGAGCTATATCCCCATCCCGCCATTTTTTATTTTGAGACAGGATCTCTAAATTGCTGAGGCTAGCCTTGAACTCCTGATCCTCTGGCCTCAGCCTCCTGAGTAGCTGGGGTTACAGAAGTGCATTGCCATATCTTGCTAGGCCTTCATTTTAGAGAAAAATTCTTTTTTTTTTAATATTTATTTTTTAGTTCTCGGCGGACACAACATCTTTGTTGGTATGTGGTGCTGAGGATCGAACCCTGGCTGCACGCATGCCAGGCAAGCGCGCTACCGCTTGAGCCACATCCCCAGCCCCAGAGAAAAATTCTTAAAAGGTTTACACAGACTTTGCTTTAAAACATAATACTAATCATCAAATGCTGGCTGAGTACCTATGATGCCCAAAATCCTGAGTTTTGAACCCTGGGACTCCTGCTTTCTAGGTAAGCACTCTCCCACTAAGAGCTACACCCAACTCTTCTTTCCCTGCTCTGGTCCCAGAAATGCTCTCTTCCTGAATCATGCGTTTCTATCTCTTAGCAACTTCCAAACATTTATTTAAATAATTATCTTATTGGCCAAAGGCAATATGGTAAAGCACCCTCAAAACCAGTATGTCTAAAACTGGTTAAGGAACAGGAAGGAATGGTGAAAACAGGCTCTTGCTTATGGTAACATAAAACTGCACAGTAAATTTTCTCCTTCTAAAAGTACTTCCCAGCAATTTTACATTTCTTCCCAAAAACGGATGCTGTCTGTCTCCTTTTTGTCTTTCATTCCACTGCCCCATTCTTACAGTCTGAGAGGCAAAGCTTAATAGCAAAGCTATATTATTAAAGGTCAAATTTTCCTGGCACCAAGGTGTATTCTTTTTATTATTTTTAAGAGTTGATCTCCGCCCCCCAACGTTTTTCTTGGTGCATTATAGTTGTACATAATGGTGGGAGTTGTTGTTACATATTCGTACATGCCAGACCAAGATATATTCTTAGCTGAATGGATTGCATCTTTCAGCAATTTTAATCTGAAGGTCAGTTATCCACCAGTCCATACACCAATGAGAGAAAATGGGTTCCATTTGCTTTTCTATTGGAGACAACCACGGACATTTAGATTTAAATCCAGTATAAAGCTAAACAATAAGCAATATTCATCCTTTCACTCATAGATTACAACTGGGCTTAGAAGATTACAACATAAGTAAATTTTAAAAAAATGAAAGCCACCCTCAAAAGTACTTTTGGGTACAGGAAGAACAAAAATTATGAATATGGATACATGGTAAAAGTTTCTTGAAGCCAGATGTAGGGAACAATCKAATAGGCCTGGAACAGAAGCAAGAACTCCTGGTACTCCAAGGCCTCTTTAAAACAGTATTATCCATCTATACCCCTGAGAAAATGGCAAATCACAGCCAATGCAAGATGAGCAATGCCTATAGCCAGCTGGAACTTGACTCTACTAAGGTGGACTATGGAATCTGCCACCTAAAGCAGGCAGGCTCTCTGGCAGCTGTCATTTGTAAAAAGGAATGAGCCATTGTTTAGTGAAAGAAATTCATAGCTCTCTTAACCAGAAAAACCCAGATGTTGCTAAAAGCTACAGATGTGCCAGAGTAAAAGACCAATGTACCTAGAGCAAAGAAAGCACAAGCTACCACTAAAATCTAGGCACCAAGAGGGCACCACCACCCACACATGCACATCTAGCCTTTATTTACTAACACTTACATATGGAAATAGATATTCCCGCTGTAGCTGATTAATTACAGAGAAATTAATTTATACTGCATCTGCTGGGATCAGCTAAAAGCACAGGGTGAGCAGAACACAGAGCAGAAAATCAAGAGCCAATGAATGCTTCATCACCAGTCCAGCTGCTTCATAGGAAACTGTAAGCTGCTCAAATTTAAGGCAGCCTGAATTGGCCCCAGATGCACACCTATTCTTCTCTAGCACTGAGAGACATTCAGACATTTACTGAGATATAAACTAAGATCATCTTCTCAGAGGAGCGACGCAATCTTAACCCATCCTGGGGCTGCAGGCACCTATCCTTTTAAGTCAAGCAAAAGACAAGGTATCATTATGCTATTAGGCAGCTACAAAACCACCAGGATACTGATTCCCAATAATTGCAGAAGGTACCTGGCAAAGAGATACCCTTTCAGTGGCCAAAAATTCTTCCTAGGCCAAACTTTCATAGCTACAACTGTTGAGAGCCACAGCCGAAGGGGCACCAGCAAACTTCCAAGCTACAACAGTAACTCATAAAGCCTGATTAAGTATTTCATAGTATAGTCAGGACCTCCTGCCCCCTTGTTTACCAGACCAGCAACTGTGTCCTTAATGCTCTTTGGTAGCCACCAATAGAACACTTGGTGGATAAGCCATGAAATTTAATCAATCTTTTAGTTCTTCCAGAAATACAACACCATCAATTATTCCATTAAGAACAGCCCTATACATGTAAACAAAAGCTAATTAAGTTTATCAATTATTATGAATCTAATAATAAAATATCATTCAAGCTGGAAACCACATAAAAGTTTGGTGCCAGCCTCTAGCAACAAGTGTCCAAGATGGAACAATAACAAGGTGTGAGAAAACTCATTCTACCAAGTAGAATTCTAAGAAGATATCCTATTCCAAAATGTTTCTCTTGCTGTAAATGAGCCTATAGGGAATCCGCTAATTTGGAACAAAACCACATTATCATTACCAGCTGCTCTGACCTTGTAATTGGTCATTACCCACAAACTAATAAACCTCCAACAGAGTGTATACAGCATTTGGCAGTTAGTCCAGGGCAGTTTTGACTGGCAGTGAGTGGGCAGCCAGATCCGGCCACCTCTTACCTTTTCAGACTTGACTTTCTTTAGCGGGCGACACTCATTCTCCCCTTCCTCTGGCTCCGGTTTAGTTCCCAAAGGATTGAGTGCTGCCCCAGGCTCAAGAGCTATACTCCCAAGTGGCTCCACAGCTCCTGTATCCACCCCTGTACTTCCATCATACTGACCACCCCGTCCTCCCAAGGGAACCGGCTGGAGGACCCCAGGATCCTTTTCTGAACAAGTCCCCACTCCTTCGCTTCTCTCCTTCTTGCTCTTAGACGAGCTGTTCTCCTTCTCCTTTTTGGAGCCGGCTACACTGCGGGATGCCTTACCGGCCTTCTCTGAGCCCTTGGGAGCAATAGCAGCAACCAGGCCTCCTGCATTGGCACCATCTCCTGAGCGCCCCTGCACCTCTTTCTTGCTAGCTGCCCCCTCACTTGGAGTGAACAAGGAAGTCCCTGGAGTGGGTTTGCTAGTGTCTTTTCCACTCTTATTCCTTTTGGATTTTGATTTGCCTTCCTTCCCTTGAGGACCTGGCACTGGGGTCACAAACTTGATGTTGTCTGGTAGTGTGGCCACAGCATTGGGAGCTGGTATCCCCACCTCCTTTGAGCCTGACATTTCCAGTTTCTGCTGGTCCTTTTCCAGATCGGCGTCCAGGTCAATGATGAGATTCCCTACTCCAATGTCCCATTCATCCCCACTGTCGTATGTCTCAACAGGGTTTGCATCCACTCCTTTCCCTCCGGAGGCTCCACTGCTCAAGGACATCTTAGAGTCAACGTCCCACCTCAAGATTCAAGGCTCTTCCTTGCCCCCAGCTTTCCTATTTTCAGCTTCAGCTATGTTCTCAGACCTGCCACATTGGTCAGTACATGCCCAGTGGACAACATCATTGCTGGAAAAAGAAAATTTAAAAAGCTGTTAAAAGAAACAATACAGGCAAGGAAACAGCCTGAAATAGACTCCCACATAAAACAGACCCTTCCTGTGTGACTATCATATCACAATGGACCAAACAGATTCAACTGTATTTCTAACCAAGTCATACTGGACCTAGAGAAAAGTTAATTCCCATTCCATCTCCTCATGGGGATAATGCAATATCTTCAATTACCCAGAGATTCTATAGTAAGTCTTAACTATTAGTTAGTTTCCCCTTCCTGAGACTTATTTCTACAATCACAACTAGCTGGCAATTCTCCTTCAATCAGTACAGGCCCTATCATAACACAGATTCAAGCTCCAGCACAACTTTATTCAAACCCCCTTTCTCCTCCTCCTTGATTTATCAGAGACTCAGAAAACGATTTAACTGAAGCTTTAACATTCTACTTAWAGGCCAGTACTTACTAAAAACCATTCTACCATTGGGAGAAAAGGCCTTATTATGGTTAAGGAAAAGAAAAACAAGCAGAGTAAGAGAAAATGCAATTTCAGGATAGGGGCAAAGACTGCAACCATAGGAAATAATTTTGAGAAGATTATCTATCAATTAGTCACTTAAATCCAGAGAAATTAAATTATATCAGCCTTATCAAACTACAGATTTCAAATCATGTCTGAAAAGTAGGGTTCAATGTGGCCTTTCCCACTTCCCAAGATAAAAAAACAAACAAACAAACAAAAAAACCAGAAATGTGTTCTTACCCTGTCAAAGTTGGCCACTACTAAAAACCTAACACCAAGATGTAGAATAACTTTTACTTTCTTATATAAGATTGATGGCACTGTATTGATAAACAGAGGGTTTTATGAGACTGGCTTGGAGCTGGGGTTGTGACTCAGTGGTGGAGCACTTGCCTAGCATGTATGAGGCACTGGGTTCAATTCTCAGCACCACATACATATAAATAAATGAACAAAATAAAGGCCCATCAACGTCTAAAAAATATTTTTTTAAAAAAAGAGAGAGACAGATTGGCTTAAAAGGGGGTGAGAGATTATTAAAAGGATAATTTATCTCTAATGTCCTGACTCATGAGATCTGGAGAGTATATCATTTAGAAAACTCAGCAGTTAACAGATACCATTCAAATATTACTTAATGATAAAGCYAAGGAATTCTGTTCTTGCTTATTCCTTTGTGCATTATCTTTCCATATCCATTTAGAAAATAATTTTTCTAAGATAACTGAATAGAAAGAGCAAATCAGTACTGTCACAGTGTATCCTATAAAATGGCTATCTAACAGACAAATGCTATAGATAGGATAAAGAAAAGACAAACTGTGTCTTTTCACCTACTCCCTCAAAACAATGTCAAAGAACCAGAGTGCACGAGCAAAAAAAAGATGAATCCCAGGAAAGCTAAGTTGTACCAGATGAATGCCTACTAAATGGGATTTGAGAGAGAGAGTGGTATGTACATTAATCTGTTTTTAGTTATAGACCCATATGAAAATATATGGATTACTCAACTAGAAAACTTATGTTAACAGCCCCAATTACTATTTATTAGCAAATGTGAAGACTGTCTGGATCTTCCTTCAGAAAAGATGAACAAAAAGGGGAGTGGGACAGGCACTGGATAAGATGTAGAAATTATGAAAAAAAAAGTCATGCACACGGTAAAGGAAACATGATCCCTAAAAAGAGTGAGAGATGATACTTTCAAAAATGATCAAGAACTCTTAAGAAATTTTTAGTAAATAGTTTAGTTTGAAATTCTCAATACTACACAAGAATTGGCCTCTGTGGAAGAATAATGTAGTAGCTAATTTGTTCATTCATTTCAAGTTTTTTAAAAAATTCATAATGCCTACGAAATGCTAGGCATTAAAYGAGGTGCTGGGAAAACAGCAGTGAATAAAATAGTGAAGAAGACAATGGAATATGGTATTGAAAACATTAGTGGCTGTGGGCATTTCTAGAAAAGGGAATGCTAAACTGAATCTTCACTAAAAAGATTATTAGTGCAAACTTCTTTCCAAAATAATAATTCATCACCTCTATAATTTTTCTAACTGTGGCTGGGTTTAGCATATAATCCACATTAATCTAAGATCTATCCACTGTCCTCCAGAACTGCACTATCATCAGTGTGAATTTAACCACTAAAATGTTGTTTTATCTTTGGAAAAACAGTAAAACTTCCAATAGATTCAAGACTTTAGAAAACAGGATGGCAAAGAAGAGAGACTCTGGAGTAGTATATAAAGGAAAAGTATAAACATTCAAAAATGTTAGTATTCACTGAATTTTTGACAATTCTTATACTATTATATTAGTTGACCTGTTTCTATGGGACAGAACAAATTATGCCACTAAGGGAGAGAAAATATTAAGAAGGTAACAAACTAGCTGGGCAAGATGGTGCACTTGTGTAATCCTAGTGACTTGGGAGAATGAGGCAGGAGGATCTCAAGTTTGAGGATTCAACAACTTAATGAGATCCTATCTCAAAATAAAAAGTACTGGGGATATAGCTGAGTGGTAAAGCATCCCTGGGTTCAATCCCCAGTATCAAAAATAAAAGAAACAACAACAACAATAACAACAACAACAACAAAAACATGCTGAAATGAAAAGATACAATTTACTTGAAAGGACAAAAAGATATGACATTTAAAAAAAAAGTTATGGGAGCTAGAGGTAGAGCTCATTGGTAGTACACTTTAATAGCCACAAGTTTACTCCCCAGCACCATTAAAAAAAAAAAAAAATGCAAGTAAACAAAAATGCAGACTCAATTAAAATTCATACAGAAATCAGAAAAGTACAAAGAGATCTGTTGAAATATAAGAAAACAAAGAAATTTTTTCCAGAATTCAAGGGAAATGGACAGTGAAGAGAAAAAGAAAGAAGGAAAGAAAGAAACTGAGAGAGAACATTTCCTACCACTAAAGTAAAATAAGAGATTAGAACAATACATGAATAACACCTTGAGCAGAAGAAATCTTGCAGACTGGAAAAGTTCACTATATTTTTGGCAAAATCAATTAAAAAAGACAAATGTGCACACATTCTGGAAAAATTTTAAATTACAAAGGACAAAAATTGGACTGCTCTCAGAATACTCAACAATATTAAATGTTAAAAGACAACGAAAAGTTACAGAATTTTGAGGAGAAAATGTTAAGCAACTTACAATAAGACAAGTTATTTGTCTTGTGGAAAAACAACATATTTTCAATTATGTAAGAACAAATATATAGTTGGGTATGGTGGCTCATGCCTGTAATTCCAGCAGCTTGGAAGGCTGAGGCACTCAGCAAGACCCTTTTTCTAGTAAAATATTTTTTAAAAGGGCTGGGGTTGTAGCTCAGTGGCAGAGTGCTTGCCTGGCACATGTGAGGCATTAGATTCAATCCTCAGTACCATATAGAAATACATAAAAATAAAGATGCAGAAGATTAAAAAAAAAAAGAGGTTGGGGATGCGGCTCAGTGGTTGAGTGCCCATGGGTTCAATTCCCAGCCAACAAAACAAAACAACAAAGGGAGAATCCATCATTTCTAAAGCATATTATAAGGATACAAAACTGAAAAATGTAAGACAACTCAAAAAATATAAGATGACAAATATTCTTACAAAGTTCTGATGTCTGAACTTAAAGGACAACTTAAGAGTCATTTATGGGCTGGGAATGTGGCTCAGGCGGTAGCGCGCTCGTCTGGCATGCGTGCGGCCCGGGTTCGATCCTCAGCACCACATACCAACAAAGATGTTGTGTCTGCCGAGAACTAAAAAATAAAATATTAAAAATTCTCTCTCTCTCTCTCTCTCCTCTCTCACTCTCTCTTTAAAAAAAAAAGAGTCATTTACCTTTCACAGACATCAACAGTATTTAAAATTTTAAAGAAAGTGTTTTAAAATTGTTTTATAAATTATATTACAGGTTGTATTGATACTTATTTGAGTTCTATAAAGGGAAATAACAATTCTTTCTTTTTCCATGAACTCTGTGTTATGGGCTTTCCTTTTAGACTACTCCTCCCTCAGATATGTTTCGTAACACTTAACACTGACAAGAATGACTGCATTTTGCTTCAAAAATCTCTCAGGATCAGGCTGTGGGGAGCAGGTATAACTCAGTAGTAGCTCTTGCCAACAAGCATGCCCAAGGCTCTGGGTTTGATCACCAGAACAGGAAAAAAAAAAACAAACAAAATAAAACTTGTCTCAGGGCTAAGGTACCAATCTCAAGACTCACATTTTTACATTCAGAATATCTTTCTTACTAACCTACTAGGTCATTGACCCCACCAACCAGCTAAGCCTTCAAATCAATTGTGTGAAGGGGTTGCTGTCAATAAACCATGGGATACAACAAAGTTGCTAAAAGAGCTCTATTATATCATCTTCCCTGAATTCCAGATGCTGTCCTGAAATCACTTCATATTTAGCCCACCTCAGGTGGAGGTAGTACAAGATGTAAACCATCCTAAATGACTCTGAGCTTACCCAGCTGGAAGAACAGGAATCTTCCTCTCCACCTGCCACACTTCAAGGGAGCTCACTAATCAACTGAATTTCCACCTAGGCTCTAACGAGAAACAATCAACTTCCCTTTGGGCCTCCCCTTAATTTATTACATTAATTACTGTAACAAAGGAACTGTGTCATCTCAAGTACCATAGCTCTCAGCCTATAGCTCCAATGGAGATTAGATAAAGAACAAACAGTGCCAATTTGAGAAGACATCCAATTCAACAGAGCTCATCTGATCACATGTCACATAAGGACAGAAGAATAAAATTGTAGCATCTCTGGCTCCAAGTCTTTATATACTACAGCTCATATGGTCCTCACAGGCTGCTAGTCTCAGACAAAGATTATGAGGTTTGACCTGTTTCATTTCACATAAACAGCTGACACTTTCATCAGGACGAAGCTACTCAACAGGATTCAGGTTTAGATCCTTGATGTTTGTCAATACTGTTCTGTGTCAGCATA